TGTTGCCCACTCTGCTGAAGACCTCCAACAACTCTTGAATCATTTTAGCAAGGCCTGCCAAGACTTTGGACTAACAATCAGCCTGAAGAAAACACAAGTCATGGGCCAGGGGATGGACTCACCTCCCTCTATTACTATCTCCATGCAAGGATTGGAGGTTGTTCATGACTTTGTGTACCTTGGCTCAATGATCTCTGACACTCTCCCCTGAGATTTCGAGCTACTATGGTAGCAAAGTAGCTACCATAGTCTCTAGACTCACAAAGAGTGTATGGCTTAATAAGAAGCTGGCAGCATATACCAAGATACAGGTCTGTAGAGCCTGTGTTCTGAGCACACTCCTGTACTGCATTGAGTCCTGGACCCTTTGTGCACAGCAGGAGAGGAAGCTGAACACATTCCATATGCGTTGTCTCTGACACATTTTTGGTATCACCTGGCAGGACAAAGTTCCAAATAGAGTAGTCCTAGAATGAGCTGGAATTTTTAGCATGTATACATTACTGAAACAGCAACGTCTACATTGGCTTGGGCATGTTGTGAGAATGACTGATGGTCAGATTCCAAAAGATCTCTTGTATGGAGAATTAGTGCAGGGAAATTGCCCCAGAGGGAGACCACAGCTGTTATACAAGGATATCTGCCAGCGGGATCTGAAGGCCTTAGGAATAGACCTCAACAGACGGGAAGCCTTGACATCTGAGCATTCAGACTGGAGGCAGGCGGTGCATCATGGCCTCTCCCAATTTGAAGAGACACTTGTCTGGCAGGCTGAGGCAAAGAGGCAGTCCCGAAAGCAGCCAAATCAAGGAGCTGGACAGGGGACAGATTGTATTTGTCTTCAGTGAGGAAGGGATTGTCACTCTTGAATTGGCCTTCTCAGCCGCACTAGATGCTGTTCCAAGTCCTCTATACAGAGCACGTTACCATAGTCTCTCAAGACTGAAGGATGCCTAATCTAATCTAACTAATGCTGCCATCAATGAAATATTAAGACCTGAAACTCCTGAACTCATTAAGAAGAATATATCCTAAATCAGTTCTTACTCCCAGCTAGGGTAGAATCAATTGCTGAATGATGACTCAACACATAGGTACCTAAATCCCATTGACTGGGATTGCAATTGGGACTACCAATTGGATTCAGGCCTGTTAGTCTAACACCTGGATTTTATTAAAGTTTCTTCATGTCAGTATTTAGCTAGAACTGAACGAGAAGTTTCAGATACAGGACTCAATTGATTATTTGGGTTTTGGCCTTTTTTTTTTTCTTTATGCAGGCTATTTTGCCAGGACTCCAGAATAATGGAATAATTCAGTATTTCCACCCCATTCATTCTTACAGGATTTGCAGCTTCACCCCAGTCTGTCTGTCCAACATATAATTGAAGTGTGGGAAGCTGTTCCAGCCAGTCTCCAGACTTGTCAGTTTTCCCCTTCCCCTCTCTCTTGTTTTATGGTGCTGATAGGGTGGCACATGTTGATGTTTGCTGCTTGTGTATTTGGGGATCCCTTTTCTGTCAATAGCTACAGGGACTAGGTTTATGGTGGTGAGAGGGTAATACAAATTAAAGTTGGTGGTCTGGGTATCTAGGCTTATAGGTATACTACATAAAAAAAAATTCACCATTCTTGTTTTAAATCATGCCAGTCTCCTACTCATTCCTCTTTTTTTTGCTATCACAGAAGTATTTGCTTCCCTCTACACTAACAGCTATTTCTTTATAATGATATCTTATTAGGTGTCTTCTAAAAGTGGCCTCATCAAATTCCCTCAGCAATTTCTATGTTAGCACCATCTTATTCAGTGTAAACTCTTCTAACATCTATGCCAGTTTCTGCCAAATGATAATTTTCATGTCCTGTAATTTTAGCCCTTATCTTTATGGGCTTCCCTCACTTTGGGACTAATTATGGGAACAAATTAACTAACCAACTAACTATCCAAAGCCAGGTCTAGTTTCTACATTGACCTATATAAATACTTATTCCCCTATAAATGCTAATTTATTTTAGAGCAGTTCTAGTCTTCAGCTTAACAACAAGGTCTCTATGGACACACAAATCATCAACAAAAGGCTAACATTTGTGCATCAGTGTTTAAGAATCTTCAGCATTTGGCTCCATAATTAGGAGGAGACTGCAGGCATATTACCAGCTGTCCACTGGGACTGTGGACTTTTTGTCTCACAGAAATACTTAAAAAAATCAAACAGAGATGTTGACCAAGGCAAATACATATGTAGGTTGAGAATGATGCAGAGTTTGCAAATGAATATCCCTTCTCTCTTAACTGACAATTTTCTTTGATAGCATTTCAAGTATGAAATCTGGGCCATGTATCTTAAACATCCCTGTATAAACACTTGAACATTCTGATGAAGTTGTGCTTGTGAATCCAGGTAGCATAACTGAATGTGCAGCTCCTATTGCACCAAAATAAACCAGACATAAACAACAGCTAAGATAGACAGGAAAATGCTATAACTTTATTGGCTACAGCAGCATAGCATAAAGACTGGATCCACCCATTGTGCAACTCACCTGTCAGCCCATGCTACTTTCCAGGCCTGCCTGCTTGGAAGCACAAGATGGCAGACTGAGTTGAGTGCCTTCCAGACGCAAGATCACTAGGAGGACCTCTGCCATCTGTTGTGAAAAGGGGATACTGTTTCAGGGTACACTCTCAGAGTACATGTGTGCACTCACACATGTTCAGAGACACAACCATCTTTGAACTATGGCAATAGTGTGTCTTGACAGAGATAGGACTGAATAAAACACACTCAGAGCTATTCAGAACAGAAATTTTACTGATTAAACAATTTAAAATATAGCACAGATTCACAATGAAGTTTATAATTAACATGGGGAAACATAGGCTGAACACACTCTCTCTCTTTCTCTTTCTCTCTCTCTCTCTCTCTCTCTCTCTCTCTCTCTCTCTCTCTCTCTCTCTCTCTCTCTCTCTCTCTCTCTCTCTCTCTCTCTCTCTCTCTCTCTCTCTCTCTCTCTCTCTCTCTCTCTCTCTCACACACACACACACACACACAGAGAGAGGGATAGATTGAGGAGTCATTCAATATGTGGGGAAAATAATCCCATAAATTACCTTGCCTTAGTTTCATTAGACTGTCTTGTTAGACTGTCACAAGTGTACTTTTAAATAAGGACTCTGTATTTTTTTCTAACCTCTGGATATTACAGCTGGGTTTCAAGAAATTAATTAAATTTCTTTTTACAGGTCGATTCCCCCTCCCATGTTTCTTTTTTCAAACAACACATTCTTTCCTTTTGAAAGCCAGGCAATCTTTCTGTATTCAAGAAAATGCAACCTGTTAGTGAACAGAAAATGCAAATTTCATATAACTCTTCTCCATTTTCTAGCTATAAGAAACTCTTTTGTTCATAAGCAAAAATTAAGTGTGAAAAGGGGAGGAGGGGGAAATCCCAGTCTCATTCTTTGAAAGCAAATGCTCCCATACTTATTCATCTTTCTTTCTCTGTTCCCCATCTCGAAGGTTCAATTATATCTGCTTGTTGGTTTTACAGTTCTTAATTATGTAGTTGTCTATTCTGAATAAGTGAAAAGCTGTGCTGGGAAATGGAGTGCCAGTCTCTCTCTCTCTCTCTCTCTCTCTCTCTCTCTCTGTGTGTGTGTGTGTGTGTGTGTGTGTGTGTGTGTGTGTGTGTGTAATGGGGGAGGACAATGCAGTCTCACGGAATGTAGTGAAGGGAGGGATCGCATTACTCTTTACTACCAATCTGTGCAAATGGCCACTGAAGTCAGAGGTCATGGCTAAAATTAGTATCACTTTGATGAAGAATACAGCAAGATAGAGTGACATTGCTAGAGCATAAATTATATATCTCCTGGGCTGTAAAGCAAATGTACTGAAAAGAGTAATAGAAAAGGTAACACAATCTAAGAGAGGTCTTAGCGTGACATCTAAGCAGGGGAGAACAAAAAAGAGAGAGGATAAATAACGTATTTATATAAAGTATATATTTATATAAAGTAATTATATAAAATATCATGGAATGCTGTTGGCCTTTTTTTAAGCAACGCTCTCTGACACCCGTCTATTACTTTCTGTGCTTGTCTGCTTCCTTCTCTTTTCCAGCCTCTCTGACAGTTGCCATGGATGTGTCAAGTTTGCACTCTGAGGCTCATGATTCTCAAACTAAAAAGAAACTGCAGTCACCATTCTTGTTAGTCAAGATGACTAAAAACCTGGCCATTTTTTTAAAAAAAGAGACTGCAGTGTGTATAAAATGCAGGGTTTCATTTCAGCATCAGTAGTACAAGGTTACAGATGAAGCCTTAAGAATATAGGGACGTCAATGGCAACAACAAGGTCAGACTAGATTAATACAGATTGCTCTAGGCACTAAGAAATAAATATTATTGAGGTGGTGAAGAAGCCAATACAACTTCATGCCATAAATTCTTTACAGAGGTGGATTCAATGATATTTGATGACACAGATGCCCAATATATACTCTAAAAGTACAGTTGGAAGATTGTTCCTTTCAACGTTTGCTCATTACTGATAAGAGTCTGTACTTGGCTAGCTTTCTCTTCTCTCCAACAACACAGGTTTATTTATTACCTATATAGATTTCAGTTGTATCCTACCTTTTACTCCAGGAAGCTCGAGACGGTAGATATAGCTGTCCTCCTTTACACTTGATCTTCAGTACAATCCTTAAGGAGAGTACATGAACACACCCAGTCATGTTTGATTTTGGAAGCTACGCTGCATTGGGCCTGGTGATTGCTTAGACAGGAGACCACTGAAGACTATCAGGGAGCTCAAGATATGACTAGGAAAGAACTGAGGCTTGAATCTCTGGGCAGCTGTTGCCAATCAGTGTTAATAGTACTTGGGTCAAGAGTCTGACTCAGCTTTCTATGTTGAGCTGAGGCATAGCAACTAACCCAATGTCATCCAGTGAATTTTCATGGCTTACTGGGTATTAGAACCTGGATCGCAAAGTTCCATGCTCTTATTCTGACCTTTACATCATCATTAGCTGCCACCGAGATGTACTCCATGAAGTGAAGAAGTCACTTGTCCACACTGCATCAGCCACTTGAAGCAGGGAGCAACCGAACTGTTCTCTGCAAGCACAAGCTGTACTAGCTCTAGTGTCTGCCCCAGCACAAACTTTCTGAGTCTGGACTGTGATCACATACAGAATTGCCATTTGTACTTACTATATGCAGAGTCATTCTGATCGCCTCTTTGCCACATGCACAATGCATCATCTGAAACTGGCAAAAAGTGGCACAAGGCATGGGAATTAGTACTGATATCTTGGTTAGGATTTGCACTTATTGTGTTCCACAAGCAGGACCACATCCATGTTTATCCAAGTTTAACTATTTATGCTGTATGTGATATATAATGTTAGAACAATGCTAACAGGGGGGAAGAGGTAGAAAACAAGCTGTTTGTTAACTCTGTTATTAACAGCTCTAGACGCATGTCTCCCTTCCCCCATTTGCCCATTAGCTTTTCTGTCTTCAAAAATGGTCATTTTGTTGACTGTGAGATGACAAGGTGTTGATACAAGGTTGTGGAAACACATACACACAATGAATCAGGAAGAAACGAATCTGCAAGGTCTGAACAGGGTGTGACCACGGAGTGAGGAACCACCTTCTAGCCATTGTGAGATGAAGCTCTTTCTCCACTCCAACTACGGTCATAGCCTGATCCTTTCTCCTCCTCTCACTTGAATCTCGAGTGAGTTATCTACTTACTTGCAAGATTCCTTTTCCCCAACTTTGATTTACCAAATGTTCCTTAACTCATTTATAAATCAACAAGTGCAACTCACAACAGACTGTTGCAGTATTAAGTACTGGGTTCTGGTCAGCTAGCCATGGCCTCTTCCAGATATCCCCCTCCCTTACTTCTGCTTTTGGTTTTCGGTCCCTTCCTCCATGTCCATGAAGCATATTTAGTACCCAATGGATTATTTTCAGCCCTTCCCTGCCTTCTTGGATTTTTTTTTCCAAAACAGACAGACACACTGAATGATTTATTGAAAGAAACTTTGAAATCTTGAGGTTCCCCCAAACTTCTTTTTTTTTTCTGGTGGTGCTCCTACTTTGGCCGTGTAGAGGTCGACACTCAGTGAAGCGGTTAGTTATATAAGATACAAACATTGCTTCCTGGGAATCATTGTTTTCAAAGAGTGGGGAAAGCATGAAGGCAAGAACGGCTCACTGGCCCCCCAGATGTTGCTGAGCCACTACTATAGTTTTCTGTGATCATTGGCCAGCCCAGGAGGCGCTGATCAGAACTGGAAAGCCACAACTTCTGGAGGGTCACAAATTTCCCAGCTTTTGGCCAAGAGCTTTGGTGATCATATAGAAGCCTGTCTGAAGTTGTTCAACTCACTTGTCAATATGAGAAACTTGGAACACTCTCAGTTCATTTGTTTACAGAAGAGACACATATCTGCAAGAAATATGCCAAGTTTTCTGCTTTATGTAAAACCTGACCTGACATTTCAACCCTCTACCTTAAAAAAAATTTGTGGAGACTTTAAAATCCCAGTCTATCACTATTAACTGCTTTGCAATAATTCTCTAGAATGACACCTCTTTGTTTATAGAATGAATATTCTCCTCCATGTGTTGGTGGCAGAGGTTTCAAGTTAGGTACACACTACAGGTAGACCTTATAGGGGAAAAGCAGAATCATTTGTTGAAACCATTTTGTTGCCATTACAAAGGAACTATAATTCAAGGTGAAGCCGTCTAAAGGAGAGATAAGAAATAACCTTTGCATCACTAACTCCTTCTAGGGACAATTTGAGGATGTCGAGTGCACTTTTAATGGATTCAGTAGTCATTAAAATAACAATAAAAATGGATTCAACACAGAGCATCATAATGACATAATGGAAAGACACTTGGCTGAGAGCTTTTTTGGTTCTCTAAGTTGTGTCCAATTATTTTAGACGCTGAGGGAAAAAGGAAGTGGTTTCTGTTTCAGGAAGTAGCTCCATGGGCTAAAACTAGCTTTTAATTGTGCAACAAAATATCAGTGATAATAGAAATGTATCTTCCTTCTATTTAAGTAAGCATATTAACAAAACAGAACAAAAACTGTGCCTTCTTCAGTAATTGTTGTTTTTCACATGGCTACCAAAGAAAGGTAACTTTGCCAACCTGTGCTCAGTAACTACTCAGCATATCAAATTAAAGAATACAGAT